AATATGGATATAGACCTAACGCTCCGCCTAAAATTCAACCAAATTAAGGGCAGGTTTAATCTTGTCAAAGCCTAGAAAGCTGACAGTTTGCCGTAGGTGATAACCGAACTACGTTATCTCATACACCGCGAAATGCACATATCTCGTTGCACATACCGCAGTTTGCTGTTTTTTGTCTAACGAAAAATTTTTCTCTATTTTATTGAGAGACATGCCCTGCTATCAGACATATTATAGCATGTTGAAATCTAAACTGGGCTGAAATGCAACGAAGCATATTTTCCTCATGTATCAAGGCAAGTCATGAGTTCTGAAATGGTCGCCAGCTGCAGACTGGCCAGTTACCTCAGAATCAAGAATTGGAAAAGCATTCAGTAGAAAGACACCCAAAACATAAGCGTAAATTCTATGACCAAGTCTGTATTTAGTGCAACATGCGGATGGTGGTGGATTTCCATGCTTTTATGACCGCGTGAACCCAATCGATGACGTTTCTCAATTCATTATCTAAATTTTGTATAATCTCAGTGGTTGGTTCATTTCCAGCAATAGTGCCTTCGTGATCACTCGTGACCTCTTAGGCAAATCTGCTTTCCCTGTCGTATTCAAGTGCCTGACTCTTTCCAGACCAGATTTTATGGCACACTACACCACCCCTTTCTTGGATCAAGGAGGCGGTGCAATGCGCCCGGCATTACGATCATGTATGAGTTATGCGTTGCTTCAAGAAGGATATTTGAAGCTCCGCTTCTCGTCATATGATGTCGCATGATTTCTGAAGTATATGATGCGTTAACCCTCCACCAGTTGAGGCACTGCTCCATGATGCGGAAGAGGAATCATCGGAGAAGAGGTGGCTGTGCCAGAGCCCACAGAGAAAACCTCTGTGCCAGCCAAGCTTCAAAGACTCGTCACCTGGAACTCAAATGGACGTGCCGTCTAGGATGCCGAGCAAACATGGACAATGGCGAAAAACATTAGACATATCTAATGAAATAGGAAGCAATAACAAAAATGTATTGCAGTCTCCTGCATGCAACGTGAGTTAGGCTACATCACACAACTGATGGTTGGGGGACTCCAGAAGCAACGGACTGGTATCAAAAAGGCTGCAAGTGCCCATTTGGAAGACCTCGATCGAGATGGGACGAAGACCTAAAAGATGGATCTGG